CCCCCATCCTCTCCGTCACCGGCCTCCACACCCAGGCTCCTTGGCAGCTCCTTGGCTGAGAACATGGATGCAAACACTGCCTGCGGACAGCCGTCAGCGCCTTGCGTCGGCCAAAGCCATAGCAAGAAATGGAATATATTCCCACACGGGCAAAAGAACCTGCAGGGGTGTCCCCTGCCCACGCCGGTGGCAGCCTTTGGTGGTGGAGCCGAGCAGGCTCCTGGCTGCCCTTCGCGTCTCCAGAGGCCATGGCTGGGGGACGGGGGTTGTTCTCCCTTCTAAAGTCAGGGCCGGCTTCTCTGCCGGGGCCAGGAGACTTTGGGAGCACGTGACCTTTTTATTTCCTTCTAAAACCAGAAGAAATAAAAAGAACTTTTGGGTAGAAGAAAATGGTTTTATGTATACTGTTTATATAGTCATCTTTATGTCCGCGCAGCTGTGAAACGGAATTTTGGATAGTTTGTATGGAGGAAAGGACCTGGGAAGGCAACAGAACCGGGGTTCTCATGGGAGTCAGACTGGGACCCCGCCCAACGCCTCACCCCGTGTATCATAACAAACTGCAGAAACCTGGAAATGTCAGGTTTTTTCCCTTCACTTTCCTCAAGGTTTAAAGACGCCCAGGACCAATTACTTAGGTGAGGTTTGAAGTTGGAGCAGCTGAGGTCCCTTTGGCAGCCTTTGTAGAGCTGATGGTTTCTCCAGGTCCATGCCCAGGCTCGGGGGGCACCGGGACTGTCTGTGCCCAGGGGGACCTCCCTCTTCCAGGGAGAACCTGGGGCTTGGCTTCCTCCACTGCATGAGCAAGGAGTTCTGAGAACCCGAGCTGCTGGGCCTGGCGAGTCACCGAGACACCCACACGTTTCTCTGGGGCTGGAGATTTCCTCTGTGCTCTGGCCGCCTGGGACCCTCTGAGGTTCCCGGTAAACGCTGAGACACCGGGATTCCGAGAACATCAGGCTCGGCGCTGTCTAATGAGCAGGCGAGCTCGTGACAGAGGCGGGGAAACACAGCATGGAAAGGGCACCAGGCCTTCCAGGACCGAACACCCCCGCTCCTCCTGCTCCCGGCTGGCCCCATCTGTGTGTGACGCGGACCTCTGTCGGGGCGCGAGCTAGAGGAGGGTCCCGCGCCCCCCACAGCGCACTGCGGCCTGGCAGCCACCTTGGGCCCCCCGACGGGCTCCTGGGCGGCGCTGCACTCTGCAGATGCTTTCTCTGGGCTCCTTGACACCGCATCCGTGTGGGATGCCAGCTCCCGGGGCACGTAGGTCAGGAGATAAGCCACCAGCCCCAGGGACCGTGAAAGCGGAAGGCAAACCAGAGACACTGTACCGTAGTCAAAGGAGGGGTTCTGCCCGGGGTCACAGGCAGCGATCTGGAGAGGAGGCAGCGGAGGCGGGGGGAGAAGCCGCATGGCAGGTCCCATCTGCAGCACCCCTTCCCTTTTAGATATGTTTTTATTAATTTTTTTATTTTTAGAGAGGGAAGGGAAGAGAGAGAGAGAGAAACATCGATGTGAGAGAGAAACATCCATCAGCTGCCTCCTGCACGCCCCCTCTTGGGGATCGAGCCCACAACCCGGGATGTGCCCTGACCTGGAATCGAACTGGCGACCTCTAGGTGCGTGGGAGGACACTCGACCTCCGAGCCGCACCAGCCAGGCTGTCGCCCTTTTTGGAGGGAAGAGCTCCCCCACCAGGCGCCCACTGGGAAAAGTGACAGGTGTGAGTCTGAAGTTTGCTCCTGCGCCCAGCCTCAGGCCAGCCGGAGCCTCTTTCCCGGGGAAGTCCAGCCTCGCTCACATTGCCCCTGCCCTCCCAGTTCCAACAGGTCCCACAGACGCTCCGTGGGCCGGGCCCGCGGGTCAGCAGCTCTGGTGAAAGGGCAGCCCGTCGGGTCTTGCTGACGAGTTGTTTCCGACGTGAGCATAGCGGGCTGGACACAGGTGCGCCCTGTGGTAGAGTAAAATTGTACCATGAGTTTAAAACAATCACATGAACAAACCCCACCAAAATGTTAACAGTGGCTGTCTTTGGGCGGTGGACTGTCTGTGCATCATTTTCTCCTTTCTATGTCTGGATGTGCTGTTTCTATCAGGAACGTTTGCTCTTCTGTGATGGGAGGAAATAGCTAAATTAAAGGAGTTGGAGTGTTTCACACATCATGGGATTCTAAGCAAAGACTAGATATTTGCAACACAGAAACCCGGGGAAGGAGAAATGAGGTCCACATTCTCTTCAGGCACCTGTCACACACTGTGCCCTCTGAGCTGGTGGCTGTGGCCTAGCTGGTGACAGGTAGAACCACTTAGATAGGCCCACAGGGGTGCCCCTGAGAACAGTTATAATACATCCAGTGAGCACTTTCTGAGTGCTAGATTCTTCTCTGTGTCTTTATTATCATCATGGCCTTTTTTAAAATAATCTTCACCCGAGGATATTTTTTCCATTGCTTTTTCAGGGAGAGTGGAAGGGAGAGAGAGAGAAAAAAACACTGATGTGCGAGAGACAGATTGGTTGCCTCCCACGCACACCCTGACCAGGGCTGGGGATCGAGCCTGCAACCGAGGTATGTGCCCTTGTTCAGAATCGAACCCAGGACCCTTCAGTCCGTGGGCTGACGCTCTAACCACTGAGCAAAACTGGCCAGGGCTCATCCTGGCCATTTTAGAGAACAGAAAACCGAAGCCTGGAGGAGCCAGATAGGTGGCAGCACTGGGGTTTGAGTCCAGGCAGCACCTGGCCGCTGAGCCACCGGGCTCTTCTGCCTCTTGCAGGAGCAGAAACCAAGGTGGAACCTAACAGAGGGCCAGGCAGGTGGAGGGGGCGGGCTACAAAGGAGGCTGCTAGTGCCGGGCGTGGGCTGGTCCAGTAGGTCTTGCCCACAGTATGGCCAGGGAGAGAGTCTGGGACCAGCCAGGACCAAGGGTGTGTCATTTTTCCTGCAGCCTGCTGGACATCTTCCCAACTGTGGTGGCCCTGGCGGGGGCCAGCCTGCCCCAAGGCCGCCACTTCGACGGCCTGGATGCCTCCGACGTGCTCTTTGGCGGGTCGCAGACTGGGCACAGGGTAAGTGGAGGAAATATGTACCTGTCTGGGCTCTTCAGGGGGCTGACCTGCCACCTCTCACCCGGGGTCAGTTCGCCTTTGTGCAAACAGAGCCATCCTCAGAGGATACAGGCAAGCAGCTGCTCCAGATCCAGTTCAAGAAACCCCACGGGTGACTCCTCTGAGATGACCCTCTCTCTCCACTCCCTTCCCTTCCCCGATAATCCACCTGCTGTGTCAGTCCAGGTTTATGTCTAACCATATGGCCAAGGGTGGGTGCACAGTGGTGCTCATTCCCTGTGAGAGACCTTTGGGTGGAGGGACAGTCCCCTGGCTCCTGGAGGGCCCAGGGAGAGGCTCAGCAGCCCCCACTCTGGCTTCGGGCATGTGCTCCCAACACCCCAGTGTCCTCTCTTCAGGTGCTCTGAAGCACAGCCAGGAAATGCGGGGCCTGATGGCCTTTCCCCGTCATTTCCCTGTGTTTTCCCTTCACCAGGAGGGGAAGGGGAAGTCGGAGCGGGGGAGGAGGGGGAAGGAACCAGAAGCCTCTTTGCAAGGCTCCGGGAGCAGGACTTCACGGTTTCGGACCACACATCAAAGGGCCTATTTATATTTGACTCGGATGCTGCTGAGTGTCCTGTGGCAGCCACCGAAGCTGCCCTTCCCGCTCGGCCGCCCCAGCAAGCCGCACCCTGGGCCCGGGAGGGCGCTTCTGGTAAACGCGTTAGCTTCCAGGTGTTGTCGGTTGATGCCTGCCCCCCCTCCCCCCCAAGTACCGAGT